AAACAATTTACAAAAGCACATATTTGGTGCTGTATTAAAAAGATGATTCACTTTATTTTATGTTTATGAAAAGCGTTTCTTTCTGGTACACAGAAGAGAGTTCACACTGAGACATTTTCTGTCCACACATTCATACATGGAGCCTTAAAGAATAACACCGATTAGCCTCAGATCAACTTGTTAAGTAACTAATATTCTCATCTTATTCAAACTGAGAGCAGACATGAAAGCATCAGAGTTACCGTGAACAAAGAGCCTGGCAGGGCATTGAAAATGAATTAAAAAATCAGGGCAGAGCTTCTATACTTGAAGGGCCTCCATGGGTTTTATCATGAAAGTTAATGTATATCGCCATGAAAGGACAGTGCAACACGTATTAAGATTTCATGTTATGTGAAAATTGTGAAGCATTAATGGGGCAGAAAAACAATCCAGCAGATGCGATTCATTTTAGAAAAGAGAACTTATTCAAACCTGGTGTACAATAGGTACCGGGTTTCCTCAGGACAATGACAGTGAATGAATGAACATAAACAAACCTCTCCTAATGAAACCAAGCAACCATGACACTAATCTCGCTTCTCAACGGACGGTGCTCCTGTATGGAACTGCTCAAATGACAACCAGTGCAAACACACATGGAGGCACAAAGTGTTACACTCCAATGAAATTAAATGTATAGCCATTTAAACAGCTCTATAGCTTAAGACTTAGACAAAGATTTAATTTGTGTTTCAGACTTTAAATGGAATTGTGTTCTTCGTCTTTGTAGCATCACATATAAAAGAAAAGGGCACATTAGTAAGTTGTAAATCATTTGTAGAGGTACTTAAAGTATGAAAAGTACTTGGCCCCTGTGACTGATAAATTGTTACATTATTAGATTGTTAATATTAAGGTCTGAAGGCATAAGTAGCCTTTTACTGTTTTAGCTGATCCAGATGGAGCTTGTTTTAACTACTTTCTATACAGTTTGATAGTTTACTCCAGAGGTTCTCAATATATACGGATCAGGCCTCTCTAAAGAGTCATAAGATAAATCTGAGGGGTTGTGAGATAATTAATGGGAGAGAAAAGAAGAAATAACTAAATTCTGCCACACAAATGTGTCTTTTTTCCTCTAATCATACTGTGAAATGTTGGATAATTGTACATTTTTGGGCCTTAAACTGTTTTTAAAAAAAGGATTAATGCAGAAATATCTCTGGAGAAACTGCTGACAATTCATTCATATCATGCTTTTTAGAAAGGAATTTTGCATTGTATTCTATAAGCATTTTTTCAATGTAAAATCGTATTTTAAAGTATAAAACAGCGTGGAATATCATACTGGAGTACAGTACTTGAGTAAATTTACTCTGGGTTAGTTTCCATCACAGCCTAAGGGACAACAGAATGGTCTGGGGCTTAGGTTTGCGGCCTCATGCTTGTAGAAATGCATCTTGCGCTTGTTTAGAGATACGCAATAATTTCTTATTTTACTGCTAAGCAACTAATATATCTATAAATTGAATTCCTGGATCTCAGTGTATGAAAACAAGCAAGGACCAATATGGGTCTCCATGGAACAAATTCATCACCTTCGCCAATGTCTATCCTTAGTTGCACTCTACCAGTTTAAGTCTCCAAAACCTGAGCCCAGTTGTTAAAAACTTCCATAAAATATGGTTCCACTTCAGAAAACATTTTCTCTTCAACCAGGAACACTTTCAAAACACTTATTCCTGCCATCTCAAATTCACACTGGCTTCCAAATACGGTATAGAAATGGTTTGATATTCTTTGGTGATCTCTCTGTGGAAGAAACCTTGGCTTCCTTTGAGACACTGCAGATCACCATATTCTGAAGAACCATTTTTTCAGATACTTATAGGTGCATATCATTGCTAAGACATACTTTCTATTTCCCTCCTTACCACCTAAAAAGGTAAGCGCGAACAACTATAAAACAATACAAGATATCAGCCCCCTCATAAAACCAAACTGCCATGGGAGGAGGACTTGGAGGTTGTACTTTCTGATGAGACGTGTCAACATAGTTTAAAGTGTATATGTACCACCTCCTTCTGCATAAGACACGGTTTCATTCAATTTAACATCGTACATCAATTACACAATTCAAACGAGAAACTGACCAAAATATACCCAGCATTTACACTGCTGCTGACCTGGAGGCTGACCCTCGTTTAAACGCTGGGTCAAAGAAGCACTCTGTATCTGAGTCCACTGGAGAAGCTGAGATACAATCATAATAGATCTGAGAGGTACATTAAAACATGGTCCCCATTTACAGAATTTGTCAAAAGCATACCTTTCACTTAACTAATATACACATGAGATAAACAGTTGGATGCATAATCTTACATATATGTCCCCATTTGAAACAATGCCAATCGATGTACATGTGAGGAATTTTCTAAAACCTTATTGTATGTATCTGTTGTGTTTAAGTGTTTTGGAAAAAAAGAAATGCATTTTATCGGTAAAGTGATATTTCTGTTGAACATTGCAGAAATTATAATTAAGGCCACATTATTGTAAATTAAACATTTTAATATTAAAAATACAGCACTAATCCAAAAATGATTCTAGTGGCCCGTATTTTATTGATGATTTAAGCATTAGATTTGTATGTTGGCAGAGACCCATTGATAATTCACGGTGGATTGCCTTTACAGTAATGGCTCAGTTATTAGTCCTGCATGGCTATTTAATGACGGGTCTAGGTGTGAGTCATTAAAACACTTTTATATTAAGTTTTATGACATTTATGATGGTTTAGTGAGGTATGGTGCCATCTGTTAAATCAGAGAGGAAATGGGCTAAAGAGGTGCTGCATGGTGAAGTTTGCTGAAGAAACTCCAACAAGATTAATGTTCAACTACAATAAACTAGTGTGTCAAAGAGTGGCCTGGCAGACCAGCTTTTTATTCATTCACACCACAAGATAGTCTCATGGCAGCTCTGAAAAAGAAGGCTTGGCAGAAAGAAGAAGCAAGTCATTTATTTTAATGTGAACATGACAGAGTATTACTAAAGGTGGCTGATGGCTAATTGTGGTTATTAAAACAGAAAGAACGAGGTCTAGAGGAATGACTCCTTTAACTGAGCCAGTAGAATCTACAGTTCCTCTGACATTATGTTTTATTATTGAGTTTTTTTTAACTGATCAACAATGGTGGACAGTAAGTCCAACTATTCAAATACTGTACTTAAAGTTCCCCTCCTCTCAAAAATCTGCTTTTCTTTCTTTCTACAGTGTGATGTTTGAGCTTCACTGTGCAGAATGATGTGTGTGCAGTTTGACACGAGAAGGATGTTTTCACATTCATCTGCTGAAAGTCAAAGTTTTTCTGTGCTCATTGATTGATCTGATTTTAAGGGGTGTGACTTACAAAAATGATTTTTTGGGAGTCAGTCCTGGTCCAGTATGCAACTTATACATAAGTGTGATGTAGAAACACAGTCCTACAGTGAAGTAGGAGACATCTTGTGCCCAACAGGAGAACTTTAGAAATGAACAATTTGCATATTCATAGAATCTGGAATTTGTAATAAGGGTAGAAGGAGTGGAAGCCTTTTGAAGGATTTTAATGTGGAGTTATACTTTTTGTTGAAAAACACACAGATTTGTTTCAAGCTGACATTTTGTATATCTTACATGTCTGGAGGGGATCCTTAAGCACACTCTGCTGCTAATACTGTGACTAATAATAATAAATAGCCTACTGTATTTTAACTTACATACATGTTTGACTGCAGGACTTACACTTGTATAGGAGTATTTCACATTGTTGTATTGGTACTTTTCCTTAAGTTAAGGACCTGAATACTTCATTAATTCCACGACTGCTGATCAAATATTTAAACATGAGTTTGTGGTGCACTATCCAAATATAAAAAGTCCATGAATTGCAAATATTTAAAGGATACGTGTAGCTACTGTATAATCAACATACTGAGTTCAAATAAAGAGTATAGGATTAGGAATTAAATCATGACATTGTAACAGAGTTTCCAGATTCCAGTCAGTTTCAGCAACTTGTGACCCCACTCCTTATGCACAGCTGTGTAGTTTAATAGGCTATAAGTCTTAGTTTAGTCTACGTTTAAGTTTAATCTGGAGTCCTTCTCTAATTCTTTACTCAATAAAGCACCTCTATCGCCACTTTCCCACAGTCCTCAGCAGTGGCTGTGCTGAAGATCACCCACTGACAACCCAAGCCCCCTTCGCCTTTTATGGCCTAATTGGCAAACTGCGATGTGGGCTAATTGCGTTGGCATTTGTGGAGCCTCTTCATTAACCTGAGCGGAGCAACACACCGATGAGTTACACACCTATGGCTGTTATGCCCTTCTCTCAGTTTACAGTGGCTGATTCTGTTTATTTTCACTCAACCCAAACTAGCCCGTTAAAGGCCCAATGTGAGTCACACGCACAGAGAAAATTATACCCCCCAAAGAAAATGCCACAGCTGTATGTACCATAAAGTTTGTTCACACCAACACACACACACACACACACACACACACACGAGACTGATATGCAGGTGAACACATCTCGCATCCATCCAGCCAATCCTAATATTAGTGAGCTCACAGGCTACTGTCTCCCTATCGCTGACCTTGTGTGAGTCTATCCCGCGGACAAAGCACTATTATCGCTTTGGCATTACACTTTGGTGGCTGCTGCTGCTGCTGCTGCTGGTGGAGGAGGAAGAGGAGGAGGAGGAGATGGTGGCGGGGGAGAGGGGGAGGATGGGGGGCTATGATAACACCACATTGCACGGCCAGTCCGACTGAGTACCACTCCCTGGGAATCTCCTTCATCATCATGGCCATTATCTGCCTCTGCAACGTCCTCCAGACATGACTGTCTAAAAAGCATGCACAAAAGAGGAAAGCTGGCCATGCGAGCCCTGCTCTTGCCTGAATGGGAAAAAAAAGAAAAGAAAGAAAGCTCAATGAGAGAAAGATAATGTGGAGCAGCCGCCACTTACCGTACCGTAGCTCCGTGTGTCAGCAGGCACTATCTCTGTCTGATATTCAGCGGCCAGTCGGGGCACCTTGTTTTCCAAATGGCTAGGTGAGACAAGTCCGCCTCGTCCGGCTGGTTCACCGATGCAGCCCAACTAGAGGAAATAAACACGAATGTCGCCGATGTTTCGCTCCACTCCACCCCGAGAGAACCCCTCTTTTAAAACCCTCCTAGAGAGGAAGAAGAGACGGAGCAAACAACTCTCCTCTCGCAAGAAGAAGAAAAAGAAGAAGAGGGGTAGTGCTCCTTTCCGAGACGAGCACGGTTTGCTCAGGATGTTTATTTCCTCTATCCCATCCACTCCTCCGACGCCAACACGGCTGCAAACCTTTGCGTGTTGCTGCTGGAGATACAGTCAGCACACACACACACACACGCGTCGCTTATATCCGTCACTCGGCATTAACACTGTACGCAGCTTTCAGTTTGCGCACCAGTCGCTTGTGTTTGCTACTGAACAACAACTAGCAGCACAACACTGACTGACTAACTGACTGACTGACTGACTGCAGCGCTGACTGTCTGGGGGTGGGCTGCCCCCCCCTTCCTGCCATACAAAGTGAAGAAATCCTCTCCAAAAGTCTCGTTTTTAGAGATTACGGACTATTATAAGAAACAAATGTGTTTTACATAACAACAACAAGAACATCCTCATCCTACTTCTGTGCTGAAGCATGTGATGGCAACATGGTGAGTCTTTTAAAGGGGTATCCACGCGTAACTGCAGACGAGGGTTGCCTCTTTTTGGATCCTCCCCGGTAACTTTTCTTGGAGGGATGCGCTGTGGCGTTAATTGGACACGGTGGTGACTTTCAGACACCCTGGGAGCACCTGTATACAAACCAGTGTCTCTCAGAGTGGGATTGAGGCCAAAAAAAACTCTCCTGTGGCGGCTGCAAGGGCTCCATGCCAAGGGCTGCCAGTGTGGGTGCAACCCAAATGATATTCCCAATAAAATGTAGAATTTATTCTGTATAATCCTACATGACTTTCAAAGCATATGTCAGAAATGTATGGGGGCTTTACTCTGACAAGAAATGGATGGACACTAACTTTCCATGCCCCTGGGGGTCAGGGTTGGGACTCCTTGTATGTCAATTGGGTGTATTCTTGGAATATGCACCATAAAAATGTCATTTCTACTCAGACTCCTGAATTTGTTGTGCTGCACCTGTCTTTTGCCCGCTAGCTTGTCTCCTGTATTAAACTCTGGTATTTTTAGTTTATATTGTGCTCTTGGAGCATATTACTAAATAAAATTGTGTTGACATATTTTTAGCACAGGAGTTCTGGTTAGTCTCTGGAGATAAATGAAGCAGGCAAGTGGGGTTGGGGGCACTGTGACATCTTCATTAACCCCCATGGATATTAAACTTTTCTCCTTGCCAATGTTGTATGAGTGGTCAGAGACTCAGCTATAAAACCCCATTGCTAAAACTGGCACAGATTCAGTAACCTGCTTCTGTACATTTTAATGTTTTCTGCTGTTGGAGCTTGAACCCAGGTTGTCTGCTTAAAAAGGTGGCGACACTACAACCACATGGCCACCCTAGAAGTCTGAAAGTCAGGATGCTTTTTCTCTCACACTCCTTGTAGAGTTTCCAAATCAACCATGCATTGCAGTTTTTGAGCCCCCTCTGTAAACTCTTATTTCACACCCTTAATTGACTCCACAGACAAGTGATATTTGAGCAGCTAACAAGTTCACCACAAGTGTCAAACTGATTTTACTTTGACAGAGTGGTAATTAAATGTAACTCTCCCACTAAGCAATATAACTCTTCAGCAGCAGCTTAAAGTGATTGACAACTGATGCATCCTGATTGCTGCATTTTTAACATTTTTATGACATTTTATGGCCATGGCTCAAGTCCAATTTGAGTTCTAATTATGAAGATCATGTGCAAGTCATGTCTTCAGTCCTTATAGGCCAAGTCCAAATTCAAGTCTCCAGTTTGAATAGGAACTTAAACTATATGTAAGACTCACATAGGCCCCTTTCACTGCAAACATTCTGACTTGTCACAGCAGGAAAAGCACAGGTCTTGAAAGCTAGGGTAGGAAATTTGTTTCAGAAGCATTTTTTGTTATATTAGTTAAAATTCTCTTTACAAGCCAACAGAAATCAATAAATCAAATGCTCTGGGGAAAAAAAAAGGGGGGGGACCCTGCGGTCACAAGCCTGTAATAAGGCCATAAGCCAATCATTTCATTCGGACTGCGAAACAAAACAAGAAGCAAGAAAGAAACATGGAGGTACAAAAGGTGACGAACAAAAAGTTTGGATAAAGCAACAGGTTGAACCAGAGTCAACATCGGTTTATATGTTCTCTGTTCTATTTAAATTATTGTCTGGAACTGTGGAACTGTGCTGCTGCCTGTCTTGGCCAGGACTCTCTTGTAAAAGAGATTTTTAATCTCAATGAGACTTCTCCTGATTAAATAAAGGTTAAATAAAAAAATAAATAAAATAAAATCGGTGTAGCTTTTCAACAATGGAGAGAACTTACGGACAGGAAATTATCAGGTTTGTTTTGTTCAAGTGCTGTGTCTGTGTTTCTCCAACTGTGACATGTAAAAATGTCTTTCTTGAAAAAGGGTTATTTCATTATCTGGATACTTGGGATACTTAACATCACATGTACTTCCATCATGTATTAACACAAAAAACGGAATTTTCCCAAAGAGACAGTACAACATTAAAACATTTACAGTGAGGAAGTCTTCATTTCATCTACATTAGTCAATAATGTTCATCTCACAAGTGATAAAAACTGTCAGGCCAGACAGACTCAAGTACTGCATCAGTAAAATTGACTGTAACTCAACTAATAAAAACTGAGGCCTCAATTTTTTCAAATCTTTTTCTTTCTTTTTTTTTTTTTTACAAATGTCCCTTCTGAATAAGTGAGTTATGTGTGTCTGTTTTTCCTGTTTTAAGAAAAATTGGGAAAAGACAGGTGTAGTGGTGTAGTCATAAGAGTGTCTTTGTCGGTGTCAAATTCAGCATTATTTGAATGTAGAGGGAGTTTAGCTCAAATTGAAGTTGGGCATTAAAACCATAATGATGGGAATTTCTGGGTTTTATGTTTTGATAATATTTTGATTAATTGTGCAGCTGTAGAACACCAAATACCTGCAAAACTAATGACATTACTCTACCTCATCTGCACTTTATTTTAAAGGTCCAGTGTGTAACATTTAGGAGGATCTATTGGCAGAAATGTAATGTAATACTCATTAGTATGTTTCATTAGTTTATAATCACCTGAAAATAAGAATTGTTGTGTTTTTTTGTTACCTTAGAATGAGCTGTTTTTATCTACAGAGGAAGCAGATCCTCTTCTATAGAGTCCGCCATGTTGGACCACCATGTTTCTGCAGTAGCCCGGAACAGACAAGCTCTCCAGATCGGGCCTCAGTTTTCACAAGATTCATGGGTTTTTCAGTTTCTCCTACACACTCCTATACACAGTCTGCATTTAAATGGTGACAATCTGTAGGTTTGTTCGAGATGAGCCAGGCCTGCACAGAATTGATCACCAGCGATCACTTCACTGTGCATGCTGGTTAGATTTGGGTCCGACTCGATGTCGACTTGCTCTGGCGTGTGAGGAACAATAACCTCAGGAGACAGCCAAAGTTTTTAGAGCCAGTTGCTTTCCACCAACTGCAAGACCCAGGGCACGACAGGAAATGCCTGGCTGTCACATGGTCAAAGAGCTGACAAGCACCATGTTTTAATGGAGGGTGTGAATTTAATATTTAACTCTAGATTGTAGGATGAAGGTTTAACCTGTTTATAAACATTTCTTATGTAAATAATTGTGATAATAATAATTAAGTTTATTTATATATCCAAACGGTGTCTAAAAACTACAGGCAGCCAAAAGATATTCTAACAGGATATAAACATTTCTGTGACTTCCTGTATATTGTGTGAAGGTTGCTGGAGACTGTATGTGACTGCAGCTATATGTCACCGCCTCCTGCTGCGAGCCTAATAACTTCACCACTAGATGCCCCCGACCCCTACACACTGACCCTTTAGGACTAAAATGCTAACATGCGAAACTAAGATGGTGAACATGGTAAACGTCATACCTGCTAAACACCAGCATGTTAGCATTGCCATTGTGAGCCTGTTAGCATGTTGACGATAGTATTTAGCACAAAGCACTGCTGTGGCTATAAGTAGGCTACAGCGTGACAAAGCCATTAGTGTGACTGCAGGTTTATTGTGCCAACGCCTACAATAATTATTGTGATGCCAACACAAAGCAAAAATATAGGGTGTTTCAGTCCCATAAGAGGGTTTATAGTTGGGGTTTTCCACCAGACGTGGTCCAGTGAGTGTGTACACAAAGTAAGGAAGAAGACAACAGATTGTGATTTGGGGATAACCCCAACTATATCTCAATGCATTAGACTAACACAACAATGATTTTTGCATTGGAATTACAATAAAATAGAATGGCTTATACAAGCCATAAGCTTGAAAGCAATCAATGAACTATGTTGCACCTTAGAATGAAATAATGCAATTTGATCAGAAATCTGATTGATAATTATTGGATGGTGACAACAAAGACTTTCAAAGCTGTCCAGGCTTATTACGCAACATTTAGTTTACCCATTTACTGCCAGTGTAGGGCTTATCCTTAATTACGTGCGCACGCACACACACACACACACACACACACACACACACACACACACACACACACACACACACACACACACACACCGTGGGATTCACAATTAAGCTGAATCAGGAAGCAGTGCTTGGTTGAAGAGAACGTCTGCTAACTAGACAGCACACTAAAAGAGGAAAAGAGACAAGCTGGAACATGAACTGGTCCTGTGTGAACAGCAGGGTCCTGAAGCCCCATTATGTCTTTGTTTGTCCACCACAAACACACACACACACACACACACACACACACACACACACACACACACACACACACACACACACACATTCTTTATGTTGATTATTTAATTATCAAAAAACAATATTTACATTAAAAGTCTTAACTGGTTAAAGATTATCTTTTCATCCAAACCTCTTCATATTGACTTGCCGTGAACACAATTGTACGGATGTCAGTTTTCATTACTTCTCTCAGACTCTTTTGTCTACTTATTTTCTGACTCCGAAACAGGAAGTTTCCAGCAGTACATTATGTTTAGAAACACAACTGACACTGTGAACTCTATCAAAGTTTTAGCCTCAAACATTTCCTCTCTGAACAATGCAGATTTTCTAAATAAATGGTAAGAGAATTATACACAAATAAATAGTATATAAGTATAAAATGAGGATAAGCTGCTGCATTTCTCAAAGTCGAATCCTTTATATCACTGCTCTTGCACTAGTATCTCAGTTATATCATTAAGAGGTAACATAGGCCTTGACATATCCCCTCAGAAATGTTACTACTCCTCACATCAGTAGAAATGCTTACAAATGGGTGATAGGGGAGACGTCACCAAGTAGATTTGTTTATTGTTGTCAAAATATAGCATGCAAATGAAACCACAAAATAACAAACATGAAGTGGAGTACCAGTGTTAAAGGATATAAATGAGCTCTTGCAGGGATTGCACTTGGTGATGTCAGCCAGTTGAAAAACATATTCCCCGCTCTAACTCAGACACTGTGCTGGTCTCAAGATGAAGCTTTGAAAAGCTCAGAGGTAAAACTTTAATGATTCCCAGCCTTCAATGTTTCCAGCATCCTCTTGTTTTCCTTTCTCTATAATGAGCACAGCCAATCACCGATCTGGATTCTTGCCACCTTTGAGAACTTGATAACAAGGGCTTTTGGTCAGTGATGCGGCAAAGTGGGGCGAGACAAAACACACTTTAACTTCACTCCATCCTGGGAAGTCATAGCTCTGCCTGCTTTTGTGGCGAGAACGCAGAAGCGTGAACTTTGTGTTATCTAGTTTACTTTGAATAATGGTTGCTTTCTCTGCCGACCTCGTGGGCTTAAGAATCTTTGTTTCTTGCATTGGACTTGTGGGTAATGTATTTCTCATCCTCTCCATCGCACAGACCAGGTTCTCGCGAGTTAAATCCTTTGAGTTGTTTCTTTTGGGACTGGCTGTAGCCAACTTGGAGGAAATTCTCATCGTGAACATCTATGATATAATCATCCTCCAGAGTTCCTCCGCCACCACCGGCACTTTGTCGTGTCGCTTACTCAAGTTCCTGACTGTGTTTGGTGAAATTACCAGCATCCTCTACACAGTCCTCATCAGCATCTTCCGCTACCAGAAGCTAAAAGACGCCGACAAGAGGGTCAACCTCCCGATCTACCTAGACAGCATCAGGTCAGCCTGGATGGTGAGTGGGGTTTGTGTGATGCTCTCCTTGCTACTGAGTGTCCCCATTTTTGCCATAAACATTCAAAGCCCTGTGGAAAACATCACAAGAAACAACACCGGCTGCCCTCCAGACTTCTTTCAGTGTAGTGAAAAGAATTGTCCCATATTCAACCGCTTTTACAAGTACCTGTTCATCCTGCTGTGCAACCTGCTGCCCTTAGTGATCGTCACAGTCACCAGCTGCCTCATCATCACAGTGCTGCTGGGCCAGAGGAAGACGGTGGTACCAGTGGTGAGCGTGAGCGGGTCGAGTCAGTTTGGCAGGAAGAGCAAAGGTCCGGGGCTCCAGAGAAGCACGATAGCTGTGCTTGCAGCTATGGGGTTGTTCCAGGTGGACTGGACTATCTACCTGATCTTCCAGCTGACTGTTAGCCCCACTGACTTTCCTTATTGGGCTGAAATTGAGTTCTTTATCTCAATTTCCTATACATCCATCAGTCCATATGTGTACGGGATAGGGAATAACCTGTTCTCTCTAAGGAACTTTAAGAAGAAGTAATTTATAGCTTTTCTGCAAGCTAGACTTGTGTTTGAAATTCTTGTTTTTACTGATATATATTTTTGCTTTTTGTAATTACATTGTTTACAAGCTGACAATATTAAGCCTATGTCACTCACTCACTGAGTTAGAATTTTTTTGTAATTTTGAACCTTAATTTAAATCTAATTTAAAAAAATATATTAAAAAATTCCACTGGTACAAATAACGCTTTAAATCAATTTTGTTTTCAGACCCATTTTATGTGATTATTTAAGATCAGCCTCATAACAAATCTGGACAACAAAAGCACTGAAGGATGCATCTGAAATAAACACTTCACTCTGGTAAATGCACACTCACACACTACCTTAACGGCTGTATTTGTATACAAACTCTTGCGCACAGACACCGTACAAACCAACATGACCTGTGTTTACAGTACAATAAACTGAGTGAGAAGCAATTCTGTTCCCCCACAGCGTCTCACAGAAAGAACCAACAGTGATCACTCACCCAATCACCCTCTCACCTTTCGCTTTTCTCCCCGCTCTCTCATTGGAATGTAAATACATTTTATATTTATGGATAAGCAGTGTGTGCAGTTGTGTGCCGCATGTAGACACTGAACACATCATTTATTGATATCCCACTCCTTTATGTAAAAAGTGTGTCCTTGTGCATTAAGACTGTTTGGTTAAGTTTAGGGAAAATGTTTTTAGAATTTCAATACATGTATTGATTCTGTTTTTAACATGAGGTGAAGCACAGGATGAATCATGTGGTTAGGCTTCATAGCATCAAGACTCAATGGCTGCTGTTGAAGAAAGTTATCATACATAGTTCACATATTAGTCACTGAGTCTGATTGTGACCAATTTAGTGATGTATTTCAATGCATTTGATTGGAGGCTGAAATTAAATCTCTGGTAATATGGGTTTAAATGTGCCTTTTAAAATTTAAATTGTTATCTATAAAATAACTACAGTGGATGTGTAAAATGTTTCAGGATCCTGGAGCAATACACAGAAAATACTGTAGATGTAATAAACTGAAGAGAGCCTGGGTGCAGGTCATTATTCTTCTCTGTCTAGACATCTTCATTTGGATCTTAAATGTAATCCTGACAAAACATGGATCACTTTTAAACTATGTATCCTGGCCACAAACTGAATTCAAAAGCAATCCCACACTAGTTCTAAAATGGTGCCGGTAGGCTGAATATTATGCCTGTTCATTGTAATGTTAAACTTGGTGTGACAGTTGTGACAGAACTCACAAAGGCCATACAAAGTCTGCGCACTATTCTCTGTCCATGCTGCCACAGCTGATTTTACTTAGTGACGTCACAATTCAGCAGCTGTCAGTGCATACTGTATTCTTTGTCATTGAAATAAATTAACAGACACACATATTAAAAACAGTTCATATGCTGAACTTTTTGTTTGTTTTCTGCTGATATACATATATAGAAACATTTTGCACAATAAACAATGTAAGAATGAGATGAAATGCAGTATTTATGCTGTGTCAACCTAAAGTGTGGTGGGGAAATAATAATAAAAATATGTATTTTTTATTCTAACAGGCTTATAATGAAAAATAAGATGATAATAATAATAATAATAACAATTTAAAGTTTTAGACTTTAACAAAAGGATGTGAAGCCACCTGTCTGGTGGTGTATTTATTTGTGCACAACTGTTACCCCCTGCTTTAGTTATATCTACCCTTTCCTCTTTTAAGAACACATATTAAATATTTAAACTGTGCAATAAATATTCACACTTAACACATAATAAATTGTCTGTTGTTCTGAGAACAATTCATGTTGCCTTCTGCACAATAATTGCGTATTGTCTCAATGTGACACGTGTAAACTATACCTTTCAAGGTATATCCCTCACGCCCCGATCTAAATATACTGCCTATAATTTGTCTTTGTCGAGTAAGCGCACAGGTTGTAGGATTAGCCGAGCCACGGGGAGCTGCCCTGCGGGAACAGCACATCACGACGAGATCTCCACGTGGAGCACAAAAGATGGGTTGGTTCACGTGGGCTTCTTTCCCACTTCCTAGTCCCGGTTAGACCCCGCCCTGCTGGCTTAATAACACACTGTTAACGTTGAGATAATTAAGTTGTTCTTCTTCTTGTGTGTAGGTTGAATTATAAACTTACACTGTAGCCTCATCTTTAAAGGGAAGTGTTTTTATTTGTTGTTCAGTGTTTTATTTTCATACCACAAGCAAAAACCCAAACGAAAAAACCCGAGTCCACATCCGTGATGAATATATATATATATATTATATATATATATATATATATATATATATATATATATATATGAGATATTTAGGGCCTACTGCTTTATTTGTTTAAATGTGTTGCTTGGAACATCAAGCCATTGCCCATAGCCCAACCCCCTCTCCTACCCACTGACTGTAGTGGACGTTAAAGCCTCCTTCCCTCCACTGCATTTGTTATTTCACTTTACAGAAACAAATAATCATTTAGACATTACTGCATTCTAACTGGACTCTGACAGTGAGCTGCAGTCTGCGTCCAGATTGGTTTGGTTTGAATAATTCTGTCGCCAGAACAAGGTTTTAGTGGCCACATGTGGAATTTCTCACAAGTTTACATTGTTATATTTCTGGGGGGTGACAATCTGGAAAATTCATTGATGATATTATAAAACAGCCTATTTGACATTTATTTAGTGAAGTCCTCTTCAAAGGTCACATTAAATTAAGGATATAGCTTTGCTAAAGATTGGGTTTCTCTGGGTTAATAATTCATAGAAAACGGATTCAGTTAGATTAGCTTTATCATATTTCGTATATTTCATTCTGAACTATAAGTAGACTATAGGCAACATTTTGGTTAACAGCCCCTAATGTATATGTGGGCTATTTTAGATTCAACCTAAAGGGGCTTCAAACCATTAACCTAATAAATATCCACTGCCCAACAATCGCCATGCTCCAGTTTACTGTGCAACACAATCTGTGGAGCCTTTTACACGAAGAGAGAATAAGGTAAAGATGTAATTAGCTGTTGTGTTTAATTAATATGCAATACAGTTTTATTTGGGCTAATATTCATTTTTAACTGCAACGTTTCGCCGCCATCTTACCGGATAAACAAAGCCAGTCGACGTTGTTTTGCGGCGTCTTTTAGCATTAGAAGAGGTAAAGTGTACGTTATTGATTGAGGGGGTCAGTGTGGGTTCATTTTGATACACTGTCATGGGGGGGGGGTCAATAACAAGGACACCGCACTGATTGTCCCATGATACAAAATAACTTTTTTATCGGAGGGGGGGTGTTTGGGTCAGATTCTCACGCCACGGACACCATGATGAAACAACTGGCCGGTAAAGTCCTCCGGAAGGAGCACGCGCATTGGCTACTGGCTCTCCACCGCCATAGTGAACGTGTTACGTCACAGCCCGAGAGCACGGATGTGTGTGTGTGTGTGTGTGTGTGTGTGGGTGTGTGTGTGTGTGTGAGAGAGAGAGAGAGAGACACAGAGAGAGACAGAGAGAGAGTGGGGGTGAGTGTGTGTGTGTGTGTGTGTGTGTGTGTGTGTGTGTGTGTGGTTCAGGGAGGGTGAGAATGGAAACGTGATCGAAAAGGTAGAAAGAAGTGAAGGAAATACAGAGAGAGGAAGAGGAAAAGTCACGAGCCCGTGCTCTCAGCTGAGGAATTAGTCGTCCGAAACATTTTCGCGCAAACTTACTGAGTTGTCCTTGCCGGCGCGCGGACTGAGCTCGAGGTGGGAACAAGCACGAGAGGGAGAGAAAAAAAAAAAATCTCCGGGATGGTGGACTCCCGCTTCCCTCGCGCTGGCGGCCCGAGAATCACGCGCCATTGAAAGCGAGAGAGGGGGGTGGAGTGGGGTGGGGGTGATATTGTGCATGCGCTTTGGCACTGAGCGCAACCTCGGGTCGGTCGATGCGAGCACACTGGCGTGGCTCTCGGCCTCCATTTGCCAGTTTGTGTTTATATTCGAGGCACTCACCGAGGCCCCGTCAAACGGCGACGACGACGTGCAACAGTTGGAGTTTCACCGGGAACATTGTTATTGTACCGCCGCCGTAGGCCACGAGGCATTCAACCCGATGTTGGAAAGGTGAGGCGTTTGTGGATCCTGCAACTTTTCCAACTTGGTGAGTGGTGGAGCGGGAGGCCTTCCTCTTCTTCGGTGTGTGAGGAAGAAAAAAAACGAGCTGTTGTCAAACAACTTCCAATTCTTAACGTGGCTTATTGTTTGAGGAGGGAAAAATAGTTACACGGGAAAACAACCGGGAGTTTGTGTTGTAAACATGCCGATAATATCCCCCCATTTGAGCCACTCGTTCGGCCTATTAACACCTTTTTTAGACTACAGCATCTGTGTGACTGTGTGATTAGTAAATTGACCCGAGGAGGGCAGGGCGACGGGGAAACAGGTCAGGTTTTTAAAAGCTTGTCCTCTGTCGTCGACGGAGATGATTTAACTCAGGCTGCAAATGTAGAAACGTTTTACGAAATTAACGTTTTGAGTGTTTTTACTTTAAAAATAGAGGCCCCGTCCGAGCATTTCGGCCATGTCCTGAGCTGGACAGCCTATTGGTCCCTCAGACGAAGTGGTCTCGCAGCCCACTTCTCGAAGTCAAAGTCCACTTTTCTCAGTCAGCGAAGAGAAATTATACATTACCCTCAAATAGAAATACTCACACCTTACCTCCTCTCTGCTATTTGTCAGTATAGGCACATAATGATGGGTTTTAACTGCCCCCCTAGCCAAGCTTATGGGGGCATATTTGTTTTTGTGCACTCACACCTTACCCCCTTTCTGCCACTTGTCAGTGTAGTCACATAATGAGGGTTTTTAAGGGGTGCAACCCAAGCATAGGGGGGTGTATTTGTTTTGGTGATTTATTTTTATCCTTTTCTTGTTATGTGCTGTATTTTTTCACCTGCCGGCTCAGTATGTGGGGGTTTTGAGCTCCAGATTTCATTTACCATATTATGTTTTTAATTCTGTCTGTTAATGCAAATAATAGTATCACAACAAATCCTCCCTTTAATGTGACGCCACACTTATGGTCAAATTTGAGAACTGTGAGCAGCTTCAGCTCCTTCCATGAGTCCAAGTACAAAGCAGGCTTTTTATATAACTTGTCATATTGGATATAGTTTATAAATACATGTTTAACATATCCTTACACAGTAAAAACAAGTCATCCACCATCTCATCAGAGGGCCACATATGGCCCAA